TAAACAGAGTCTTACTCTGTTACCTAGGCTGGAGTGCTGGGATTACAGATACCCACCACCATGCCTGGCTATTTTTTTTTTTGTATTTGTAATATATTTCATTTTCTACGTCTTGGCCAGACTGGTCTCAAACTCCTGATCTCAAGTGATCCACCTGCCTTGGCCTCCCAAAGTGCTAGTATTACAGATGTGAGCCACTGAGTCTGGTCCCCAGCAGATTTTTTAAATGCAGACATTGGCAAGCAGATTCTAAATTTGATGTAAAAATTGAAAAGTTGTGGAATGGCAATATTGAAGAAGAAAAAAATTGGAGGTCTCATGTAACCTATAACAAACTTTATTACAAAGCTACTGTAATCAAGACAGTAAGGCTGAAGGTTAGAGAGACAGGTCAGTGGAACAGAAGAGTCCAAAAGTACATCTACATGGTATGTGCAAAAACATACTATATATATAGTGTTTTGTGTCTATACACACACATATATACACACTTACATATATATAGTGTGTATGTGTGCATATCTAGACACATACACACTATAGAATGTACATATACATATATACACACTATATAATGTGTACGTGTATATATGTACATACACTATATGTGTGTGTGTATGTGTGTGTGTGTGTGTGTGTATATATATATATACACACACACATATATAGTATGAAGTCTGTATCTTACTATCCACAAAGATTAATTCAAAGTGGTCCATAAACCTACATGTAAAAAGTAAAATAATAAAGCTACTAGTAGAAAACAGACTATTTTCATGATCTTGGGACATGGTAAATATTTCTTAAGCAGGACACAATACACTGTTTACATAAATATACTATTCAGAGAGAGCTGTACATGGGACATGAAAAGGCAACAATAAAAGAGAGACAAGGCAAATTACAGAATGGGAGAAGAGACATTCAGTACCTATACCACGAAGAGCTTTTGTGCAGATTATAAAAACAACTATAAAACAATGTGAAAAATAACTCAATTAAAAACGGGCAAAAACTTAAAAGAATATTTCAAAAACAGGAAAATTAAAAGACTAACAAATATGTGAAAAAGTGTTCAACCTCATTGATCATCAGAGAACCACAGTACAATTACAACTAGATATGAACTCTCATCCACTAGAATGACTAAGAAAACCCCAGACAATAGTAAATGTTGGCTAGCATGTGGAGGAATGGGTACTGCCATTCTGATAGGACTGTAAAATGGTATAGCCACTGATAAATGGTTTGGTAGTTTCTTAAAAAGTCAAACATAAGTACACTTACGAACTCTGTAATTCTACCCCTGAGGATCTACCCAAGAGCAGTGAAAAGACATATGTACATAAAAACTTGTACATGAATGCTCATAGCAGCATTTTAATAGTCAACAAACGGGAAAAGCCCAAATGTTCATCAGTTGGTGAGTGGATAAACGTGGCATATCTGTATAACACAATGTGATTCAACAATAAGAAGGTATGAAATATTGATATATACTACAATATCAATAACATTTCTGGATGTCAGAAACATTATGCTAAATGATAGGAGCTAGCCACAAAAGACCTCATATTGCATGCTTCCATTTATATGAAATATTCAGAATAGCCATATCTACAGACACAGAGAGTAGGTTAGTGGCTGGGGGGAGCTAGTTGGAATGGAGATTGGCTGTAAATGAATATGAGGGATCTTACTGGGTGAGGAATGTGTTCTAAGACAGATTAT